GAAGCGTATAGTATAGCTTTTATTTTGGAAAGAGCCATTTCTCTGTAATAAACTCTTTTCCAAAGATGAGTGATTTCTCGATCAGAGATTTATTTATTTTTATTACTTTGTTGTTTCAGCAACATTAAATTTAAAAACTGTACTTTTGAGTTAAAATATATATTTATAATTTTAATAAATTGCAAATTAAAAAAGCATGAACTTTTTTTTTTTTTTTTTTTATGTATCGAAAAAATATTGAACAGTGACATCAAAGTATCGAACCGGACCGTGAATTTTGTGTATCGTTGCACCCCTAATATTTAGATGTGACCAACGGGGGGAAAAATGTGTTTTTCAAGTCATGTGATACTCTGAGTATACGAGGTATTAAATAATACTTTCTGTCACCAGGTTTCACAGCTGACCTGCGTTCCAACACTGGTGGCCAGGCCTTCCCACAGTGCGTGTTTGACCATTGGCAGATCCTCCCTGGAAACCCACTGGATGCCACATCCAAGCCTGGTGTAGTTGTCCTTGAGACACGTAAACGTAAAGGTCTCAAAGAAGGTGTCCCAGCCTTGGACAACTACCTGGACAAATTGTAAAAGCTTGGACACCCCTCTTGGCACTTGTCTCATTCCTCCATGCCCAACACATTTAAGTCTACGTTGTGGGACCGGACTGTACAGAACAAAGTGAGCGCTAATGTTTGCCAAAAGGATTGACAATAATTAAGAAATGACTACAAAAATTGTAAACGATAAATAAAAGAAAATAAAAACTTTTATGTATCAAGCTGCTTTCTTTATTGGGGATGATTGTGTGGGTAGTTTTCTTTTTTGTTTTGCCCACTCCTAAATCTGGTGAAAATGTTGAATTTGGAATGCTTATTCTTCATTTGCTTTTAGCCTGGCCTGTACTACTTTCTTTTCTATATACCCCTGCTGCCAGCAACACCTGTGGCTAAAGACGGTGTTCTGGTTGTTGGTCCATCCCATTCCCATAAATGTGATTACTCAGTGCCTCAAAGCAATTTCATTTGGCACAAATATTTACTTTTGACTACCATCTAAAAATCAAACTGGGGAGCTGAAACAAACTTATTGGCCAGAGACAACATTATTTAATGTGCAGCACTCCGCATGTCTAATAGGATAAAGTGATGACAGTTTATACTCTGAAGATTAAAAAGACTGGTGGGTGGGTGTGTACATCCATGAGCATTTTGTTAACTGTTTGATTTTATTGTACTGCAGTTTAGAACTTTGAAATCTAGTTAATGTCTCTTCAAGCCTATGGGGAAAATACACATATTTATTGGCATACAGTTAATAGTATATAACCTATATGGTTTTGTATAGAGATTTGCCTGCTCTGCTTATTGTCTGGTGGACATGAGTTCTCCAACTCAGATGTCACATGGATGTATTCATCTGTTGCAGCATGAGCAAAGTGGCTTTCCTGCATTTCCAGCGCTGCATAACGGCCACACCCAGAGCGTTCAGTGGGGCAGGGCTTAGTTGTCACAACGAAAACTTGTCGTTAGTAAGACTTCCTGCCTTAAACTACTTTG